GTCAACAAAGTTGCCTTTGCTGAGACAAGACAAAAATATAGCATGTTGGTTTGTGGGATGAATCACAGGCCTCAGGGCAATGGGACTGCAGGAAGAGGAAAGGGAAAATGCTAATTAGAAACTACTAACAGCAAACATCTATATAAGTTCTTTTCTCTTTTCCCTTTGGAAGAAAAAAGCAGGTAAAAAAGTTTCAAGAGAATTCTTTTTACAGAAACCACTAGAGTGACAGAAAAAGAACTCCAGTGGTTTTGACAGGCTATTGTTATATATACAAAAGGAAGGGTGGGACTCCCCCCTTTCGAACTCACCTATGAAATATCAGTCAGAGCAGGTGGAATCCCATCAATAAGAGGCACAGAGACCACAAAAAAATTAGGTCTACCTGCTGTGGCTTTCAAGAAAAAAAGCTCTTAGCAGTTTGCAAAATAAATAATCTAAGGCAGGGTGTCCAAAAATAAATAAGCATTAAACACATTTTGGTTTTACCATAAATCAGACTCACAATGAACTGCGTGTTCATTGATCATTTTTTGGTGTACAGAATTTTGGTGTGCATTTTGCTTCTTTGACCAGAAAAGCTGCTGTGATAGGCGATGTGCAGACACAAAATGCATTACTTTAAAATACAGCATAAAGCCCAATAGTAGTGTCTTACAATTTTGACAAATAATTGCAGGCAAAAAATCTGCATTTCTATGTATCTACGACTCTTTGAATAAATATAACTATTCAATAGTTTTTAACAGACAATGCTATGACAGTGTGAGTGTTAGTCAATTTTGTTTTAAATTCTTCATCAATGTTTATGATAGTTCTGTCTGCCCAGTGGTAATATTCTTGTTAAACAATTCCAGAAGGCACTATGCTGTAAAATATTATAACCTAGACACCTGTTAACTTGTTGAATTAAGGAGGTGCCAACAGTGTGCCCACAAGAAGTCCAAAGCACCTTGTCACATTCAATCAATACCTTTTTTACCCAAATGAGTATTTTTATGGAATCACACAGGAAAAGATGCAGCTTGGAACCAATTGGTGGTGGTGCACACCCACACCTACTCCAAATGATATTTTCTGCTTCGTATTTGAAGTACAGCCACATCCCTATTTATAACACATCTATTTTTCTATGTGAACATGAAGGATTTTCTGACAGTGGCCATTTGTCTTGATTTCTAAATTACATTTGAGTGGACCTTAGAATTCCCAAAATGTCTATAGTTATGAAGAAGATTCATTTACAGATGACTTCTGTCATTCAATGTTATTTACATTGCAATTATTTCTCCTCTGCTTTGTTAAATTAAATAGATTAGCACACTGTCATGTAATCTACTCTTCTTGTATGAAATATAGGGGAGGAAAAAGAGTATGACTCTTAAATTTGGCCTTCTCCAAACTACTTTAGCTATGAAAGGTGATGGGATTTGAGGTTTAACTAACTTGGAGGATACCAGAAAGGTACACAAACAATTCAATTATGTATACTTACAGATCATTGTAAATCAGGCCATAAATCTGTGGTAGGTTATGATGATAGATTCCTCGCAGGATAATTAGTAATAGTATCACAACAAGGGCTGGAAGACCCCAACCCAGAAGAAAAAAAATTAGATAACGCCGTTCTGTGTGTTCATCATTCATCACCAGGATATACCAGAAATTAACAGCCTATGGAATAACAGGGAACATTAGATTAATGCACTTAATAGTATTTTACCAACAGTTCTGTAAAAACATTTTTTTAGAAATATACCTGTGGTTACTGCAAACAATCAAGAGAAATCTTCAGCTATCTGCCGAAGAAGCTTTTGCTTTGATTGCATGCACTGAGCAAAGTTCTGGATCAGATCACAATTTTATGCATGTGTAACGCAGGGTAAGAAAAGAGCCACAGTGATTTTGATCAGACAAACAGAAATGGAGTGTTTAATTTTTATCCAATTCACCTGAATTGCAGAATTAGCAATCAATTTGCATAACATGCAAAACAGGTTGTCTGCATTTGGCAAACTGGAATATGCAAACCCTACCCTGAATCACACATAGAATTGCTGATTACATCAGTGCCCATATTATCTATTTGTATAGTGCATTTGGAGAAACTGAAACAATGCCAACTACTTAGCAGCTACTAAAAAAGAGCTCTTCTACTACACACTAAATAATAATAATTTAAAAAAAAAAAGATTTAAAAAGGAACCATCATGGTAAGTTAACCCCAAATCTTTTGAAGATTTCTCTTCTCCTCTCCTAAATGAACCATTTGCAAGCAGGAAGTGTTACGACACATTGACTTTACTCCTAATATATTTAACTTAAAAATGATCTAAAAATTTGTCCAATCCATGCCTCCTGAGAGTTCGACATTTTAGTGATAAATAGGCAATTGTTTAAATGTACCTTGGCAAACATTTCAAAAGGTCAGAGCGGAAATTAATGGCTACACATTTTCTTAATACAATCAGGGAAAAAAATGATGTAGTGGACATTTTAAATAACACGCTGCAAACATGTGTGTGTGTGTGTGTGCGCGCGCGCACGCGCATATGTATTTATTAGCAGGCTCATCATTTTAATGATCCTATCAGCTTTCTGCTCCCTGCATTCATTTTATATCTATGCTGTTTTCTTTTTGTGACATTAAAAGAACAAAGTGCTAGGTAGAAAGCAGCTTGCTCCATGGCCTTGTAATAAAACTAGGCCATGCTCCAGCTACAGACAGATGAACCCTGGAATTTATTTTTGTCACTCTATTTAGTCAAGGAGCCATGATCCCATTAATTCTACCTCTTAGAACAAGGCTTTTTAGTCATGCAATTTTCTAAGAACTGGTACTGTGTGTCCTTACCCTTGTTTTCTGTAATTGTTTAATCACAGTTACGTATCATCTTATCTCTTATTGCATAAATGATAATACCAACCCAACTGGACCTTGCAAACTTCGGTGTGTGCTTTATTTGCTATTTCCTATGTAATGTCATTTTTTATCTTGATAACTATACATCTCTCATCTTTTGGCATTCTAGAATTGAATAGATCAAATACAAACAGCAGATCTAACTTTAGCAATATTTTCCTGTTGCTATGGTGTAATAATAACCAGTTGTATGGACACAAAAAGGTACAGCTGGTTTCCTAGCTGCTAGATGGAGGAGCTCATACAGAAATTTCCAGTGTGCTGAGAAGTAAATCAGAAATAATTTGCACTTTATTTGAAGCTTATTCAAACATTATTTTCATTTGGGAGATCTGTTTTAGAGTGAAGCTCCCTGCAAGTGTCCTTACAGAATATGGCAGAGGTTTCTTTTTAAAAAAATAAAATAAAATATATAGTTGCAAACAAAGCAATATATGTAGTAAACACTATGAAATACAATGCCTTTTCTGCTCCTTGCCAAAATAGACATCAAAATATTTCAATTTGTGTTGCTTATATGGCCATAGAATTATTTAAAAATTACCTCTCTAGTTCTGCCTTGTTGAACTTTCAACCAACCTTAACCATTTTTTGCTCTAATTTCTTCCACCTCCTATATTCTATGGCAGGTTTTCAGGCATACCAAGCCTTCTTTCTCTTCCCTGCACCTGATCTTAAATAGCTTCTTACTTGAGCCCTTTCAGAATTCTTTACTAATTTGTATTCTCCCTGCTATTTTAAAAGAGAGAACAGAAGTAGGTCCAGGATTGCAAGGACCTAGATCTATTTACAAAATATAAAGCATGTGGTTATTTTATTAAGACTCGTTGTTACAAAATATATGATGCTGACTAATCAATTTTGTTATATCAATTCACCATAAATAATGAACAGAACAGTGCAATACATTTTATCTCTATTTATCACAGATGTTCATACACCTGTTTGCAAAGACTTTGCGTTAGTTTTTTTTAACAACTTAATACAAGATAAATTAATCCACACTATGTGTGCCAATTGGAGAACTAGAGAAAAGCATCAAATAACCTGAGACTTGGAAAGAATTATAACATAGCATTAGCTACAAAGAATTATAAAGGTAAAGACTCTTTCAGGTTGATCTCTGGTTATTACATGGATAAATTCAGCCAGTTTTCTTGAGAACAATATGGAAATAGTTTGGGGATACAGGAGACAGAATGTGGTGCTTCAGAAGTGTTCAGATCCAAAGGCTGCAGTAAATCCAGCACAGGCAACTTCCTTGGATCTGCCAGCTGCTCCTTAAAAAAAAAAGTCCCTTCCGGGTTTTTACAATAGCTCTAGAAGCTCAGGAAAATATGTGTTTCAGTTAAGGAAGCAGCAACAATTTAACACAAGTTAATAGGAAATAAACACTGTGATTACAGCAGGAGCCATTGTATTATACTGGCAACAGCCAGTATGGTACAGTGGCTAAGGTGCTGAACTAGAAACCAGGAGACTGTGAGCTCTAGTCCCTTCTTAGGGATGAAAGCCGGCTGGGCAACTTTGAGCCAGTTGCTCTCTCTCCCAAGGTTGTTGTAGCAATGAAAATAGGAAGGAGGAACATTATGTAGGCCACTTTCAGTTGTAGAAAACAAAGGGGGGAGGAGGAGGAGGAGGAGGAGGAAAGAGGGGGAGAAGAGAATAATAAGAAAACACATTTTTGCTGCTTTTTATAGACCAGAAATCACCACTAAATATGAATATGTGTTGAATGAATGTTAGCCAAAAGCAAAAGGGCAGCAGCGGCATAAATCCAGGAGAAGGCCCGGTGCATACAGGAACTGTACAGAGGCCCTTCATTCATTGCTAGCACACTCTAATGTTCCTTTCTGGAATCAGACCCAAAGCTCTGCACAGCCCTAAAAAGCAGAATTTTTACTAACCTGAATAAGCATCCAGCTGAACTGACAAAGGTAGAGGTAGTGGGTGACTGAACCCAAAGTGGAGCAACTTTCTTCGGAGAGCTGCTGACTTGTGTAAGCTGAAGCCAGAAATGATATCTGGAAGAGAATAATAGCGGCATTAGTTTAAAAATGCATTCCCAGTGATAAGGAAGAAATCAAAGTCACAATTCATTGCATTACAGTATATAAGTCAGACACCCTGCCCCCTATCTCGAATATGCACATATCACACTTTAAACTTTTTTCTTGAATTAAATATTTTACTGCACTTTGGTCTAAATGATTTATACAAACACATGGCTGCTAGATTATCCCTGTTCAGCACTGTAACTCTCAAAGATATACTCTCATTTGTTAAAGTAAAGCTACCAACAAGGATCTTGACAGGATCTCCTAATTCAAACATTTCAAAAAGCAATGTGTTACTCAATAAAAACTTAAATCAGGGTTTCTCAAGCTGTAGGCTGTGACCCTCTGTGGGCTTGTCAGCACATCTGCAGATTTTTTTAGGCTTGCACAGACACTTGTCCAGGAAGAGCAGAACCATGGTCTGACAAGGCTCCAGCTATGCTTGATCTGTTCATGCCACCTGCCACTTCCAATACCTGCTGCATGCTCACTCATGCTGAGCCTTGTTCACAAGCTTTCTCTCCAAGAGTGTTTGGGGTTTCTGTGGGAGGTGGCAGGCAGCTGAGCCAGGACCATGAGGATGATGGCAGGCCAGGAACAACACTCTCTCCCCTTCTTCTTCCCAGGTCCATCTCCACCATCTCTATCATGCTGGAGCAAAGTGGGCAAGAAAGGCACATTGAGAATGAGCCAGTGGGCTGTCTAGTGTCAGTGTCTGGGGCTCTGATTGTTCAATTTCTTCTACTTATGCCAACTGAAACCACTGTTAATAGTCTGGCTGTCTGGGAGGGGTTGAAACAACAGTGGCAGTTTCCTCATTCACCATAAAGGGAGGAATGAGGAAAAGCCCCCAAAGGCAGACAGGGTAGAGCATCACACCAATGCTAAGTTGGCAGCAGCACGTTCCCACTTATAGTACACATGAATTGCCTAGGCTGTGTGCCTCACTTTGGGGCTCCTTGGTAAAAGATGAGTCAGGAAGAGGAATAAGGAGCACTGCACTTTGGTTTTCCCCCCCTCCCCATTTCACACCTGGATTTTGAAGGAACAAGGCCATCATATGAAAGAGTCCCTTCTTCATCAAAAGAAAAGAAATAAGAATTTACAGACTAAGAAACTTGGGGCACACTACCAAGCAGAGTATCCTCCAGCCTGGGCTCAAGGAAAGGGTGAGCTGGGTCTGACTTGGTGAAAGGAAAGGAACCCAGTGTAGCTTTGAGGTTTTCCAAGGACACGGTGTTCAGATGGGAAAATTATTCTTGCAAGGCAAAAGCTTGGAAGAGTCTATTTGGGGCCATCCTTGGTGTCAGGCTTCATCCTATAGGCACTAATTTACTACTTCGGAAAGCACAATAGAAATCCAGGAATTATAGATTAATATTATTTATAGAATTAAAGAATTCAGCAATGCATTACTGTGATTGGAGAATAAGCCCAATGCATAGAAAAATGTTCCAGCCTTCTTACATTTTGCTTTCCTTCCCATCATATATAACAGACTACTTATCCCCCTCTTTTGACAAGATTGGTCTGTATTCTCTGTCCTTTTAACCATCAGATTTAACAAGTTGCTTTTTACTGACTGTGTGAGAGCTAACTGTTATGTTTGGGGCTAAAGAGGCAGAAGGATTGAGCTGCAACATCCTGGTTGCAGTTCCTGTCAAAGGCCCAGAGAGGGGATCAGAAATGCTATGCTCATTCACTTTTGCATCTAATAGCAAAATGCTTCAAAGTATGATCAGAGGTGTATTTAATGGAAAAACATTCCAAGATTTATACTACTATGGAAAAAGCATTTTCCCTTCTTTTTGGCTTGAATTAAAAATATATGTTGAAGAAAATGTTGAAATCTGAAAGCTCATCTCTTACGTATAAAGAACATTTTGAGGTCTTGAAAGTAATATTCCAAGACTGGGAATTTTAAATTGCAATCTCATTCTTATATAAAATAGTAATTCGGATTCTGTTAATTCAGATTCTCCTCCTATAAATTATTCCTTACCTCCAGGCATTAAAATGAATATGTCAAGCTACATGAAAGAGAGTAAAAGCTTCTCAATCTACTTTCCTGGTGATAAAATTTCAGTTCTAAAGCCTTCTTGCCAGAGAGACTCAGTCTGAATTTCTACTAAATATGCAGAGCTGACTTATACAATGGGAGATGGATATGTGATCCGTATTAGATCACAAATATCTCTTGTGATTGGCAACAGATCCTTAAGTTCCCAGGTAAAGACTTTCTCAACTCCTGCTAAATGGGTTTCTTGAAAAGAGACAATGGGATATTCTCTCATTCCCCATCCTGTATTTTGTATTTTTGTCATTGGAAAATGTTCGGAAATCTTTGGAAATGGTAGGAAAGTAAAATAAGCAAACAACTCTATTAGTTAAGGACCCAACATTGGTGAGTTAGACGTTTTCAGATACTGTAGATCTGTCTTCATTGCTTTTATTTCACTTTGATTATTTAGAGTTAAAATAAATTCTATCTAAAGAGAGAGAAATACCAGCATGTGTATACAGTACTATTGTTACAATACAGTGATGTTGGTTTTGGAATATTTTTAAGATTGTATGATTTTGTATTGTACTTCATAAATTTGGCTTATTAAAACAGAGCTCCTTAAAGCTTCTGTTTCACTTAACAATGGCTTCAAATATAGCAGGAGTATCACTACTTTGCTAGTAACTCTAATAATAGAAAATACATTTTTTAAAACAGCTGGTATTAATCTTTTGCTGTTTCTTTCAGAAAACTTTAAAACAAACTACCAAAAACACTGAAGAACTTGACAATGATCCCTTTCTTAAAATTCAGCAGAATTTTAAATTGTTACAATTTAAGCACATATAACAACAATGAACAGAAGTTTATTTTCTTGATTGATTTTTTTTTGGGGGGTGAAGTCATGACCAGATATTCACTTGGTGCATATGCATGTCTTCTGGGGATGCATTTGGCTGTGGTTGGAAGATCTTTAGAATAACAGTCTAGCATAACAAGCCATTCCTATGAGAGCTAGAAGAGCACAAGTAGGGAACAAGTAGAAGTGTTTTACCTTCCACCATACTGGGAGCCATTGAATGGTATAATAATAATAATAATAATAACAACAACAACCCCCAGTGAGGCACTACCTTGATGTGGTTGTGGGGCTTGCGTGCTGCTGAGCTGTAGATGATTTGGGCATGGGGGCTTATTGTTCCAGCTATTAGGCTGGCTTGCAAATCATCTGATTGTAAATATAAATCTTCAGAATAAAATGAACAGGAAATCCAAACCTTTCTGCTCATATGTGATTTAACCATTCACGGAAGATAATGTAGTTTCCACGCTACCAATTTATAGGGTCATCCAGCCATCACTGTGATGATAAACACATTTCATTATTGAGGATAGGCATTATATCATGACAGGATAAGGATAAGAGCCGACTATGTTTACTTCCATCATGTTGTCTTATTGCTGTTTTGCAACTAATGTACATACATAGGCACAGACATTAATACGGTGATCCAAATTATATTGATTTGAAAGTAATTTTCCTTTAGTCATTATCCATTAGGTCATACTATAAATTAGAAGTATGGAAATACTATTTATAAATACAGTAAATAAATGAAGAAAATAAAGCTTAACAATAAATGTAGGAAAATAATGTAATAAGAAATGGTACTGTATTTTCTGGAGTTAAAGCAGGAGTAATTTTAACTTACAATTTTAATACTTGAAGGTTATCAAATTCTATAATTATAGCCTAAGAAAAAACTGACAATCCCATAACGCTTTAATAAGCAAATTTGTAGCTGTACACTTGAAACTCCACAATCAGAACCAAGCAAGATTCTCTCAGTGCAAGCAGTCTGCAAACCATCAAGATACCTTTCACATCTTTAAATTTTACAAAATATATTTAAACACTTTGTTAAAATCAAAGAAAATGACTTTCAAATCATTATTGTTTGGATCAGGGTATTAACGTCTGTGCCTATGTATGTATGTTAGTTGCAAAACAGCAATAATACAACATGATGGAAATAAACACAGTCTGCTCTTATCCTTAGGTGACAACAGGAGGATGTTTATGGCATCTCTTTTCTCAACTCAAAGTTTACTTCATAAACTTCTTTTTCTTTTTTCTTTCTCCCCCACCCACCACCAATTTCTATTTTCCAGCTTGGCCATGTGGTTCATTTCTTTACTCTGTAGAAATCTAATCTCTACAGATTTATAAGACATTTGTAATTTAGGATACCAATGCTGTGTAATAAAAATATATAAACTACATGATAGGATTTCAACTACTTGTATTTGAAATACATGAACTGAACAAATTGGGACGATTTGGTGTTCAGGTGTATTTATTTTCGTGGGTATAAAGAAAATAATACATCCTCCCAGAAATCTAACTTTCTGAATAGCATTTCCTACAAGATATACCAAAAATAAGGAAAACTAGGAAAAAAGCAAGGATTTAACAAGGAGAGATGCAGAAAATAGCAACTGGAGGAACATTTGTTAGTGAACCAACATAACCTTGCAAGACTCAAATACTATAGTCATGAAAAGCTAATGAGTTTGATCATTTTTAAGCTTAAGATAGAAACCTTTATTATATAACAAAATAATTTAATGTACTTGCAGCTGTTTATCAATTTTGTACTCAGCTCTAGATGTACAATGTAAGCAATCATACGTTTATTAATGTTAACATTTCAGAAACCATAGTTAATACTGATATGATCTTTTTTCATTATCTTTAATCACCTAAATCATCATAGTGTTAATAATCTGTAGTATTATATAAATATCATTGTACCCAAATAATATAATGTATAACTTGCATCATAATATACCATATTAAAAGTAAAAAGAAAAACTAATGAGTTTGACCATTTTTACCACTTGGTTTGATACTGTGAAAATGAAGCTAGTTTGCCCTGACCTATGCACTTCTTTCATAATT